CCTGACCAGGAGTCAACCATGACCTCCTAGTTCATAGGTTGATGCTCAACCATTAAGCCATGCTGGCCAGGCTGCCATATATATATATATATATATATATATATATATATATATATATATATATATATACACACACATATATACACACACACACACACACACACACACACACTTGATTTTTTACACAGAGGAAGGGAGAGGGATAGAGAGAACACTGATGAGAGAGAAACATTGATCAGCTGCCTCCCGCACACCCTGTACTGGGGATGTGCCCGAAACCAAGGTACGTACATGCCCTTGACCGGAATGGAACCTGGGACCTTCCAGTCCTCAGGCCGATGCTCTATCCTCGGAGCCAAACCGGTTCGGGCCGGGCTGTTATTTCCATTAACATGTGGTACATTAATTAACACTCGAGTCCTCAGGACTTGCTGGTTTCCCTCCCAGATAATTGGCATTTGAAAGAGGACAAGCCCCAGGAGAGAATGCAGGCCTCACAGAACACACCTCGCCAGCGCCTGCAGGGAGAAGGCCACTCGACATAGGCAGAGGTCAGGGGGCGCATCCATACCCCAAAGATCGCCGGCAACCACCGGAAGCCGGGCAGAGGCTCCTCACAGCCTCGGAAGGCTCCGACCCGCCCACACCTGGTTCTCAGACTCCTGGCCTCCGGACTGTGAGACAGTCAACACCGGGAAGGCAGCGTTTGTGGTACTTGGTCACGATCCAGGGACAGCTGCCTGAGACAGGTGCGGGGCAGGCAGCTGGAGTGAGCGATCGGGTGGCCTTCAGGGCGTTCGCCCTGCGAGGGCACAGGAAGGGGAATGCCCTGACCCCGAGCCTGGCCTGCAGGGGGACCAGGGGCACGCGGCCACGTGGGAGGCAGAGGCCACAGGCGGGGGAGACCTGGGTTCCAGCTCAGCACGGACAACCACGTTAACAAAGAGTAGAGCTAGGCTCACCCACCGCACACTCTGCGAGCAGCTAAGGGTCCCGAGGGCCTGGCAGCTCCCCTGGCTCCCCACGTGGGGCAGTGTGGGAGCCGGCACGGCCATGGCACACTCAGCCCCTCATTGGGCGCCTTGTGTGCCACGCCAGCTCAGCCGGGTTTGGTGAGCCTGAGCGGTGAAGGATGGAGAAAAGACAGACGAGAAGGAAAGCTGGGTCTGGGTGGGACGCTGTCCTCTGATGGAGAGCTAGGGACAGGGCCACGGCCTGTCAGCCATCTCCGTTTTATAGCTGATGGCTCGGGGCAGAGGAAGGGCGCGGTCAAGATGTTTACCACATTCTTCTGAGTTTCGAATTTACACAATTACATGCATCTGAACTCTATCAAGCCCACGTCACTCAGGCACGTGGGGCCACGTGTTCAGACCATAGTTTCAAGCTCGCAACCACAGCTGTTGGCTGTCATTGTGCTGGGAGGCTCTGCACGTGGCCATGAGGACTGTGCCCTCTCCTCAGTCCGAGGCTTGAACTTGTCCAAACGCTGTGGCCCCTTCCCCGCAGGGCAGTGCCACCATCCCCGGCCTGGAGCAGCCAGCAGCATCTAGGAAGTGCTGGGTGGTGAGCCATCTCTGGGGCTGCCCTAGACACAAGTCTGAAGAGAGTTTGTGAGCTGGCCGCGCCCCTTCCCTTGCCCTGGCACCCTCCTGGGCTAGAGGTCAGGGGAGGTAGCTCATAGCCCCGGGGAAGGGAGAGATGGCAGGAATCCTGGCCTCCCAAAGCCAGTCACTGCCACCTGGCAGCCTGGGCTCCAGGATTCCGGAGAGCTGGGCGAGGCCCCTGGGTATCTGCTTTCTTTAGCAGAAGAAAAAGGGGGGCTCAGTGTGTCTCCCTGGGGCGGCTGCCCAGAAGCAGGAATGAGGGGTGGGTGGCGAGGGAAATGGAGAGGCAGCTTCTTTCACTTGTGAGACCGGTATTACCCGCGTGCCAAGCTCCGGGTTGGCGATCAGGTCAGATCAAACTGATGCCAGGCGTGTGGGCTGGCCGGCACCGCGGCTTCCTCAGGACCTGGGAGGCGGGAGGAGGCCTGGCATGGCTCTGAAAGTGCGTCCTCTCTCCCCGGGGAGACTGAGCAGCGGGGTTACCAACCGGGCAGCTCCGTGGAAAGCCTCCCGCCCGGCCAGGGGACCGGGAGCATCAGGGCGGAGGCTGGGGGCCAGCGCTCCTGGCTGTGCCTCTGGGGCTGCTGCCAGCCGGACTGGGGCCTGGACAAGCCCTTCACCTCTCTGGTTTCGGTTCCCCATTGTCCAAAGGGGAAGAGCATCTTGCTCTTGCCCAACTGTGTCTCTTGGGCCAGAGATGCTGATGGGCGAGTTCCCAGAGAGGAGAGTTCTGAGAGAGGGGCCAGAGGCGCCTGGGGGAGGGAGGAGGGTGTGTGAGTGATAAGAATGAGGGGGCAGAGCGGAGCCTGCAGATGAGGGGGCAGGGGGAGAGGCGGCCAGGACAGAGGAGCCATTGTGTGGATCCGAACTGGGGCCAGAGGCTTTGCCCTTCACCTCCTCCCACTGGGTCTGGGGCGCACAGAGAGCCCAGCAGGCGCCCGTCTCCCCTCCCCTCCCCTCCCTCCCCCGCTGGGTTTCTGACACCCCCCCCCCCCGGGGCTCCAGCCTGGGGAGCCAGGAGGAGAGGCATCCTGTCCCATCGCAGACTCAGGCACAACCATCCCAGAGCCTGTCTCCCATCGGACCCCAAGGTTTGAAGGCGGCGGCCACTCAGGCCGATGGCAGTGCCCTCCGAGGGAGAGGGAGAGGGAGAGGGAGAGAAAGGGAGGTGGCCGGCCGGCCCGGCAGCCGCCTTCCTCCGCGGCTGATGCGTCCGGGATCCCCATCCTGCGTGCCACGACATCCAGGCACCAAAAGCCAGACTCCGACCCTTGCCGGGCTGTGGGGTGGGGGCAGAGGGCACCGGGGAGGAGGAGGATGGGGGGAGGGCACCGGGGAGGAGGGGGTTCGGGGAGGGGCAGAGGGCACTGGGGAGGAGGTGGGGGGTCATGGGGAGGAGGAGGGTGGGGGGAGAGGGCACGGGGAGGATGGGGGTTCGGGGAGGGGCAGAGGGCACCTGGGAGGAGGAGGGTGGGGGGAGAGGGCACCGGGGAGGATGGGGGTGGGGGGAGAGGGCACGGGGAGGAGGAGGGTGGGGGCAGAGGGCACTGGGGAGGAGGTGGGTGGGTGGGGGGAGAGGGCACCTGGGAGGAGGGGGATGGGGGGAGAGGGCACGGGGAGGAGGTGGGTGGGTGGGGGGAGAGGGCACCTGGGAGGAGGGGGATGGGGGGAGAGGGCACGGGGAGGAGGGGGGTGGGGGGAGAGGGCACGGGGAGGAGAGGGATGGGGGGAGAGGGCACGGGGAGGAGGTGGGGGGGAGAGGGCACGGGGAGGAGGGACGACGAGGGCGGGATCCGGCCCCCCAGCCCCGCGCGGAGCCCTGTCCTCCGGACGCCGCTCGGGCAGGTCCGGGCGTCGCGTGACCGGCACTGCGGCTGCGGCCGCGCTCCCTCCGCGCCGGCCCGGGGTGCGGGGGCGGGGGGGGGCTGGCACATTCTAGATCCGAGCCGGGCGGCGCGGGCGAGCCCCGGCCCTCCCTCTCCCCGGTCGGCTTCCCCTCCGTGACCCGCCGCTGAGTCACCTTCCCGGAATGCCCGGGCGTCCGGACGCGCAGGAATGCCCGGGCCGGGGACGCGCACGGGGGGCGCGCGGAGCCGCCGGGGCCTCGCCCGCCCTCCCCCGGGCACCCTGCGCCCGCCCCGGGGTGGGAGCGCGGCCAGAGCCGCCCCTTCGCGCTTTTTGGGGCGATGGGAGGCGTGCGGGCAGGTGCGGGCGGCGACCTCGCGCTGCTGGGCCGGGGCCGCTCCTCCCCGGGTCCCCGCCGGCCCCCGGAGGCGCCACGTGGCCCCACTCCCTGACACGCGGCCCCGGCCCCCGCACCCCCCCCCCCGTGCGGGGACCAGGGCCAGGCCCCGCGCCGGGCTCCCCATCCCGGTGCGGACCCCCGGCCCATGGACACCCCCGGGCGCCCGGGGTGGCGAGGGGGGCGGGCCGCCCGCCGGCCGCGGGAGCAGCTTCTCGGCCCAGAGGAGCCTCGCTCGGAGGCTCCGGACAAAGGCGCCCGCAGCCCCCGGTGCCCGGCCCCCTCCGCGGGCGGCGCGCTCGGCTCTCCGGCGCCCGGGCGCTGAGCGGCTCCGCGGGAGGACGGGCGGCGGAGGGGCTCCCGGCGCGGGGGCTCCGGGCCCCCGACCCCAGGGGCTGGCGCGGGCGGGTGGAGGGGGACCCGTCCCGGCCGCCACGACTCCGGGCGCCGCGGCGAGTTCGCGGGGAGCCCGCGCCGCGCGTTCACCTTCACGCGCCCGGAACGCTGCGCTCGCGGCGCGCCGCTCGCGCCCGGGTCCGGGCTCGGCCCGCGGCCAACCTTCGCCTCCGCCCGCCGGCTGCCGCAGCCCTTCCCGCCCGCGCCCGCCCGAGCGGCCGGGGCGGTCCGGCCGGGACCCCGGGGGCTGCGGGCGGCGCCGGGAGCGGGGGGCGGGGCCCTCCCCTCGGCGCGCGGGCGGGGCCGGCGGCGCGGAAGCCGGGCCTCCCGCATCCCGGCGGGGGGCGGCCAAGTTGAGCGAAAAGTTTGCGGCCGGAGGCGGCGGAGCCGAGCAGCCGGCGCGGCGGGGCCTGGGACGCGGGGCCGAGCCCGGGACGAGCGGCGTCCGCCGAGGCGGCTGCGGGGCCGGGGCGCCCCCCGCAAACCGGACGCGCTGGGTAGGGCCGCCGCCCGCAGCCCCCGCGGCTCGGGGCCCGGGGCCGGGGCGGCCGAGAACCGCGTGGCTCCGCGCCCGCCGGGCGGAGGGCGGCGGCGGTTGGCGGCCGGGTTCGGGGTCGGTCTCCGCGCGGCCCCGGCGCGGCTCCCACGATCGCGGCGCGCGGCCCGGCGCAGCGGGGCCTCCGGAGGTGCTCGCGGCCGCCGCGGCCGTTCCGGAGCGGGGCGGGGTCCGGCCCCCGGGTGGCTCGGGGCCGGGGATGGCTCGCCCCAAACTTCGTGCCCCGCGGCGTCCCGTTGTGGGGTTCCACGTCACCGGACCCCTCCCCGCAGCCCCGGGGGAGGGGCGGGAGGGGACGCTCGGACGGAGCGGGCCGCGGGGCCCTGACTCACCCGTCGGGCCGGAACCCGAGGCGGCCCGGGAGGAGGCCCCGGCGCAGCGGCTGGCAGCTGGGTTCCAGGACGGGAACGCCCTGGGTGTCGCCGCCCCGGCTCCCGGGACCTTTCCGAAGACCGAGCCCCCGGCCCCCGCGCCTTCCCGATGCCCCGGCGCGCCGCCCCCCGCGCGGGCTCCGAGGACCTGGCTGCGCGCCCCTCCCCGCGGGGAGCCGCCCGGGCCTCCGCCAGCGCCGTCTCCTCTTCCCCAGACCCGGCGGCCCCAGGGGGCGATGCGGGCGTCCCCGTAGCGCGCACTCCGGGCGGGGAGGGCGAGCCCCACGGCCCGCACCGCGACGCCCGCCTGGGCAGCGCCGATAAGGAGCCGCAGGCAGGAGCGGCCGCCGCGGACAGCGCCCCGACAGCGCCGCCGGAGCCGCGGGCCGAGGTTATGGATGAAGGTTTGTGGGGGCCGGGGGCGGGGGAGATCCAGAGGGGGATCCCTTCTCCCCCTGAGCCGGGAAGAGTGCCCGTTCCGCCGGGCAAGAGAGGGCGGGGGACGCTGGCCCTGACGGGGCCGGGCAGTGGCAGGCCCTGAGCCAAGGACGGCGACGGCGGGGGTGCCCTGCCCCTCCTGGAGCTCCCGGCGGGAGGCCGCTGCCTCTGGCCAGCACCCCCTGCACCCCCTGCCCGGGTACCCGGGGCCCCTTCCCATCCCGGCGCCCCCGCTGTGGCCCCGCGCCCCCTGGTGGCCGGCGGGGGACTCGGCCTTTTCAGGCTGGTTCTTTGCAGCCGGTGGTCCCCGCCATCTGCTGCCGAAGCCCTGCAGCGTGCTGGTGCTGCTGAACCCGTATGGCGGCAAGGGCAAGGGCCTGCAGCTCTTCCGGAGCCTCGTGCAGCCCCAGCTGGCCCAGGCGGACATCTCCTTCCGGCTCATGCTCACTGGTGAGTGCCTCCCCGAGGGGGGCGGGCACGGAGCCCCCACGGACGGCAGCCTCCTCCATAGCCACCTGGCCTGCCCCCTCCTAGAGCGGCGGAAACACGCGCAGGAGCTGATGCGGACGGAGGAGCTGGGACCCTGGGACGCGCTGGTGGTCATGTCTGGAGACGGGCTCATGCACGAGGTGAGGCCTGCGGGGGGCGGGGGGCGTGGAGGGAGGAGGGGGGAGATGGTGAGGGGTGAGGGGCATCCCCAGGCTGAGGCCGCTGTGCTCTCACAGGTGGTGAACGGGCTCATGGAGCGGCCCGACTGGGTGACCGCCATCCGGAAGCCCCTGTGTAGCCTCCCGTCCGGTTCCGGCAACGCACTGGCAGCTTCTCTGAACCACTATGCGGGGTGAGAACCCAGGGCCGGAGTTGGCCTCGGTTTCCCCTCAGAGCGGGCCCACTGCCTGGGTTTCTTTTAGGAAATCTCATCTGCGAGGGTAACTTCCGTTCCCTCTTTGCTGGAGCTCCCGCCCTCGGTGCTGGGGCCCTCTGGTGGCTGCCTCTACCTGCTCCCTGCCCCCCTCCACCCCCACTCCCTGGGAGGGGCTCTGCGGAGGATGCATGAGTCCTTTTCCCCCACAGCTACGAGCAGGTGGCCAACGAAGCGCTCCTGAACAACTGCACGCTGATGCTGTGTCGCCGGCGGCTGGCGCCCGCCAGCCTGCTGTCACTGCAGATGGGGTCGGGGCAGCGGATCTTCTCGGTGCTCAGCCTGGCCTGGGGCTTCATCGCGGACGTGGACATCGAAAGCGAGAAGTTCCGGCGCCTGGGGAAGATGCGCTTCACGATGGGCACCCTCCTGCGCCTGGCAGCCCTGCGCGTCTACCACGGCCAGCTGGCCTACCTGCCCGCGGAGCGGGTGGCCTCCACCGTGCCGTCCTCCCCGGAGCTGGCCCGGGGGGCCCAGCAGGGCTTTGTGGACACCCACCTCGTGCCCCTGGAGCAGCCGGTGCCCGCTCACTGGACGGTGGTGCCCGAGCAGGACTTCGTGCTGGTGCTGGTGATGATGCACTCGCACCTGGGCAGCGAGATGTTCGTCGCCCCCATGGACCTCCCGGCGGCCGGCGCCATGCACCTGTTCTACGTGCGGGCCGGCGCGTCGCGGGCCATGATGCTGCGCCTCTTCCTGGCCATGGAGAAGGGCAGGCACATGGAGTTCGACTGCCCCTACCTGGTGTACGTGCCCGTGGTGGCCTTCCGCCTGCAGCCCAAGGGCGGGAAGGGGATGTTCACTGTGGACGGCGAGCTGATGGTCAGCGAGGCTGTGCAGGGCCAGGTGCACCCCAACTACTTATGGATGGTCAGCGAGTCTTCCTCCCCGCCGGAGCCGCAGCCGCGGCCACCCCGCCAGCAGCCACCGCAGACGCCTCCTCCATAAGACCCCGTGTGACTTCTCGCCTGGCTGTGCCTTACTGTCTACTTAGTGTGATCTGTGCTCAGGACCCTCCCTCCTTCCCCGTGGAGCGCCTGTCCCAGCCCCCGTTGGGGCGGGGGAGGACTCCCTGGGGGAGAGGCTGTGCTTCAGAAGGACCTGCTTTGCCCGCCAAAGGCCAGGCTGAGGCCTTGGGCAGGGACCCAGCTGGTTTGCCCATTGTGTGTGGAAGCCACTCTATTGTTCTGGGAACCCCACCCCGGGAATCAAATCCAAATAAAGTGGCATTGCCAGCCTCCTGGTCTGATCCGAAGGGTGGGGAGGAAATGGAGTGGGTCTTGCTTCGGTCACTCTAGTGTTTCATGTCATGCCCATGGTGCCTCCTGGAGTGGGCAGTCACTGTGGCGCTGAGCATGGGCCCAGAGCTGGCCCGGGCATCTGCAGGGAGGAAGGCCCAGCCCCAAAGCCGATGATACCCCCTTCTCAGCCAGGGAGCTCAGACACCCCACAGGTGGCAGCCAGCTCAGAGCTACGAACCTGTTTCCCTGAAAATAAGTGTCTCATATTTTTTCTCCCAAAGTTGCACTAGGTCTTATTTTCAGGGGATGTCTTATCTTTCCATGCGCTAGGTCTTATTTTCGGGGAAACACGGTATGCCAGTCTTACCTAGACACACAGCTGGTCTCCGCGGAAAGGGACAGTGCCTCAAGGAAGGGGCGTTGGGGAACCAAGGACCACAGCCCAAAGGGATGCACCTGTTCCCTCTTAAAGGAGCTGGCCATCCCTCCACCGAGGCTCCAGGCTGTTCGGCCTCCTCTGGCCCAACCTTGTGGGTACTGTCGGGCAGCAGTTAAGAGGAAGCAGCAGGGAGGGGCAGATGCCAGGCTCCCAACTGGGCAGTATTCTGGCTTACGGCCCAGGCAGGTGCGTCCATGCCAGCTCCCAGCACTGGAAGGCAGCCACGCTGCTGAAACGGGCTCCAGCGCACACAGCCCTGCCCAGAGCAGGCGCACCCCCTCCCCACCACCACCAGAGCGCCGCGGTGCGGTGCCTCCTGGGAATGCGGAAGGCACAGAAGCGCCAAAGGCAGGGCCAAGTGCAGGGCCGCCTCCCTCCCCCAACAGGATCTCCTTCCCGGGGAGGGTGTGAGTGCCCAGAGGGAAGAAAAGCGACAGAGCCGCATGAATGGCAGAGGCAGGTTTAATGGTGCCACCTTGTCTTTTTGTACATTGTAATGAGCCAAACCAAAAAAAAATGCAAGTAAAAAAAGGGTTTAATCACACAGCACTTTATACAGATCGTAAGCAGTAGCATTCACATCTCCACACGAACGGCGCACGGAAGCACGGCCGCCAGCCGCTCCGGTGTGGCTCCGGGAAGTGGCCGGGCCCCTCCCCGTGGCTGCGGCCCGCAGGGTGGGAACGGCACAGCTCGAGGGAGGAGCCAGCTTGTGGCAGACAAGACGCATCATGCTTTGGCTTCTTTGTGTTTCTAATAAGAGTTAATATCTTTGCTTTTGAAATTTATTTTCTTCCAACCTTAAATATTACATACATACACCAAAAATTACATACCTGCACTGTGCTCAACAGCGTCCTCTTAACCTGGAGCTTCACATTATCAAAAGCTTAGAAAACGTGTAAACCTCTGGGCCCGTCTCTGCGAGGGAGACCCCACGCCCGCCGCCTCCCGGGCTGAGCCGGGAGTCTGAGGAAGGGCCGACAGGCCGCCTCCCCCGGGAGAGGGCTGGCTCCGTGAGTCACGGGCCACCTCCCCGTGAGCATTTGGTAGTGGGAGGGGCAGAGTCCGTGGGAGAAGCCCAGCGCGGCCCTGGATGTGCTGCTGCTCCCGCCTCCGGGGTCCTGGGACGGGACTGAGCGGGGAGCGGGCATTGGCTTCGGTTCGAGCAGGCGAGGCCGTGAAGCCGGACTGCCCACCCAGCCACGTGGGCGGGAAGAGCAAGGCACCTACAGCTGTTTCTGTCCCAGCAGCTCCAGGCCTCTGCGCGTCAGTGTGAGAGCCACCACGTCTGGAGGCACCCGAGCCCGGCCTGGTCTCTGAGAGCAAGTTCAGCAGGCCTGCGGGCTCTCCTGTGGGACGTGGGCCGGGACAGAGCCAGGCGTCAGCGACAGCGGCCGTAGCTCCCAGGGGAGAGTGATGCTGGGGCCGAGGGAGGCCCTGGAGGCAGTGGCGGGACATGGGGAAGCTACAATGGCACTGAAGAGGATGACAGGGACCCGGGAAATGGCCGGAGCAGCCCACACTTCATGCAAGGCACGGCCCTTGTCCTGCTGCTCTGCAAAGCTCAGGGCTCCAGAAGCCCGGAGCCCGGCCCTCGGAAAATCCGCCTTCCGCCCGAGAGGGAGGCGGCGAGGGGCCAGGTGCCGAGACCCGCCCGGGTGAGAGGGGAGAGTGGACGGTCAGCAACGGGTCCCGCCGGCTCCGCACAGGCTCGCCTGCTGGAAGACTGCTTCCGAACAGAAACGGCAGCATCTCAAGAAACTCCTTGCACATCAGCATCAAACTCAGCAGGAGGAGGGCAGGGGGGCTTGCGGGGCCGGGAGAGCGGGAAGGGGAGGGTCTGGGGGAGGGGGGCGGTGCTGGCCTCTCCCACAGCCTCGGCGGGCGCTACTGGTCGCCTGCGCTCTCGGGCATGCCGGCCTCGATCAGAGCGGCCCGGAACTGGGCCAGGACGCCCCGGATGCTCTTGATGAACCCCTTGGAAAGCGGGAAGAGGGGGAAGCCGATGTCGGGGTAGCCGCTCTTCTCGGGCAAGAAGCTCCGGTAGCTCTTTCTCCGCTTCTTTGGTTTGACACTGGGCGGCACTGAGGCGTCCGGCGCGGCCTCCGAAGCCTGGTCTGTGTGGTCCCTGCCGGCTGCGGCCGGGCCCTGGGCGCCGGCCTCCGAGTCTGAGCCTGGGGAGGCCTCTCCAGCGGCCAGCCCGCCGTCCTCCGCTTCCTCCCGGCCGTCGGAGAGCTCGGCGCCGGGCGGCCCTGCAGAGCCGCTGTCCGTGAAGGTGCCGTTGGGCAGGGCCTGGGCCTGCTCCAGCAGGGCGTGCGTCTCCAGCCAGGACTCGATGCGGTTCACCAGCCGCCAGCCGCCGGTGCTGAAGTGCTGCCGGATCTCCTGCTCGAAGACCTCGGCCGGCCGCCGCACCAGCTGCGTCATGGACTGCACCACGCGGATCAGAGCCATCTCGTTGTAGCAGCGGCTGTTGTCGTAGCCCTCCTGCAGGCCCCGGTCGCTGTCGAAGCCGGCTTCGTTGTAGTACGGCTCGTTCACCAGGATCAGACCTGCGAGGGGAGCCGTCAGGACCGGCTGACCCCCCCCCCCACCCGAGCCGGCAGCTCCCCTCAGCTCCGGGCCCTCCGCTGTACCTTGGATGGAGATGAGCACCTGGAGGAGGCTGGATTTGCTCGTCCACCTCTCTGTCCCCTGAAACACACGGCACGGTCACCTCTGTCCCGGACGCCCCCCGACGGCCTGTCCCCCGTCCCCCATCCCGCCGGTGCGGACACGGACTGACCTTTCCGATCCAGGTGCCCAGGAGGCTGACGCACACCTTCCCATTGTCGTACAGGTTGGGGTTCAGACGGCCACTGCACTGGGAGAGGTAGCAGAAGTGGGGGGGCACGGCCGGGTAGATGTTGGGGAGCTGGATGTCGAACAGGTAGAGGCCGTCCTCGTAGGGGGTGCGCGTGGGGCCCTTGATCAGGGCTGAGAAGAGGTCCTGAGGGGGGAGGCGTGGCTGGCAGGGGCTCTGCACACAGGTCCGCTCTGCGCTTCCCCAGAGCGGCGGGCGGCACAGGGCAGCACCCGCGGCTCCCCACGCGGCCCGCGGCAAGATGCCAATGCAACCACCCCATCCCGTTCAGACCACCTAGCGCCTTTGAACTCCTGGCATAAAGGGAACTTCCCAGGTCTTATTGCTCTCTAACCATTATTTTAGGAGCTTCCTCAAACTCCGGCCCTGACCAGGCCCAGCCAGGCAAGAACTATGACAGCCATCAGAGGGCAGGACGCTGCAGAGGGACGGTGTGAGCTCCGGAGGACACGTGGGCAGAGCCACAGGCACCGAGCTCTGTGTCACGTGGGCTGGGTCAGTGGCCCTGCCGGGGAGTGAGGGGACGGGAATGCTCTCTCGGAGCCACTGTGGACCTCAGGTTCCTGCACTGCGTCCCTTTCCCTCTGAGGGAGATTTGGGGAAAACAGAACAAAATAACAACAACAAAATACTATTCCCTTCCCCCTCAGCTGGAGTTTTCAAACAGACTTTCCTAAAAGCCAAGAAGAGCCAAGCCTGCCCTGTGGTTGGGGCCGCGGGCCACCTGAGCGGCACCCTCTGTGGCCTCGGTCCGCCTCCAGCTCCTGCCGCAGGGGCCTGGCACAGCGAGGGCCAGCAGAGTCTGTGAACAAGAACCGGGGTGGGGGGGGCCTTTCCCTTCCTGGCACAGCGAGGAAACGATGACACAGCTCGGGCAGCATGACTCAGACCCAGGCCTGCCACCAGGCCAGAGGGGAATGAGCGTGATGCTATCACATGAGGGCTACTCTGTGGCTCAGAAGGGATGGAGACTAGGCCAACATGAACCTGGACAGGTCTTGAAATTATTCTGCTAAGTGAGAAAAGCAAGTTACAGATGGTGTGTGCGATGCCGTGCTATTTACATAAAACAAATCATACAGAATAGCTTGTGTTTATGATGATACATCAGAATGTAAAATATAAAAAACATCATTTATAAGCACCAAACGCCTCAAGTCAGGACCCCGAGGGCCAGGTGCGCAATGGCCAGAGGCAACCTCAGCCTTTTCTGTAAGGGGCTAACTTCTCAGAAAGACGTCTGGGCCCTGGCTGGTGTGGCTCAATGGACAGAGCGTTGGCCTGCGGACTGAAGGGTCCCAGGTTCGATTCTGGTTGGGGGCATGTGCCCGGTTGTGGGCTTGGTCCGTAGTGGGGGGGGGGTGTGTGGGAGGTAACTGATCAACTTTTCTCTCTCATCAGTGATGTTTCTGCCTCTCTCCCCCTCTCCTTTCCTGAGGTCAATGAAAATATGCTTAAAAAAAAAAAAAGACTGGACTCGGGTAACAATTATGTACAGTGATAACCTAACGCTGACTTTAACACGGAGGGAGGAGAGCAGCGGCCACCGGCCTGGCCCAGGTGTTGGACTTGGCCCACCCTCACCTAGACTGCTTCCCGCCTCCTCACAAGGCGGGCGGCCTCTCAGGCATCAGCCCGAAGGCCGGGCCCACCGTGCCCAGTGCCCAGCTGCGCCTGCCCACGCTGCCCACGGGCTACTTGCCATTCTGTCCTCGAAAGTCTTGACAGCGATGCCATCGGGCAGCGAGGTGGCCAGCAGCGCCATCTCCTTGCGCACCGCACTGAAGAACTTCTTGGCCTCTGGGGGCTGGAACTCGATCTTCTTAAAGGAGTGATTCGCTGAGGGGAGAGAAGTGCAACCCCTGACGGAGGCCTGACATGCCACCCAGAAGGGCAGCTCTGCGCATGCTCCCCGGACAGGTGAGGAGGCCCTCCCCCACCCCAGCCCCGTCTCTCCGCCGCCAGGACGGTGGCCACACAGGGCCGTGCCCCCGCCGGAGCAGCAGTGGGGCTGGCGGGGACTGGGCTCGACCCAGACCTAAGCACCGAGGGCACTCACAGGGCGCGGACTCCAGCACGGAGAAGACCTCCCCCTTGGCGCTGGTGAAGGTGACGCCGGGCTTGCCGCCGCACTGCTGGCACAGCACCGGCGTCTCGCTGGGCCACTCGGCCTTCCCGGGAGACTGCGCCTCGGGCTTGTCCTCCTTGCGCTCTGCGTCCGGCAGGGCCTCCATCTTCTCCTCCTCGGCGATGGCCACGTTGTCCAGGGTCTTCTTGAGGTTCTCCTGCAGCTTCTTGATGTCGTCCAGGAACTTCTTCTCCCGCGTCGGCCGCTCGGGCTCCACCGTCGGGGAGGTGGGGGAGCCGGTCAGCAGCTGCTCCACCGTCATGTTCTTGAGGCTCTCCAGGATCTTGATGGCCTCCTTCAGCTCCCGGAAGCTCTTCGGGGGCCCGTCCTTGCCGGCCTTCTCTATCAGCCCGGCCACCGGGGCGGCCATGGCCACGGCCCCCTGAATGGCGGCCGTGGCAGCCTCTTCGCTGATCACCACGCCCTTGTCCTCCTCGGGGGCCGCCGGCTGTTCGGTGGGAGGGATGGGGGGCTCCTCTATCTTGGGGTGCTCATCCTCCACCAGCCCATTGTCCGTCTCCCAGCTGTCACTGTCGTCCTCCCACTCATCGGAGGACGCCCCACTGGTGCTGCCTTCCACCGAGTCGTAGTCCGACTCCTCGATCTCGGACTCGATGTTGTACAGGTGCTGGGGGCAGACGGCACCTCTGAGCATCTGCCGCACCAGAGGCCGGGCAGCCGCTCCCCCTCCTCTCTTCCCCTCCTCCCCTGGGCTGTGCTAGGTCCACCTACGTCTCCGGGAGGTGCCCTCACCTGCTCCATCCTAGCAACAGCCCCGGAGCCCCAGCCCCCGGCCTGCTCCTCCCCATGGACTCAGGCAGCCCGCCCCCGGAGGACTCAGGCCAGAGGACATGCCGGAGGAGGGGGTGGTCCGTGTTCCTAGCCCTTAGGGGGGAGCTGGCCTGAGGATGGCTCCACCCAGAGGTAAAGGCGAGCACTGAGAACAGCCCTGAGCTCAGAAGCCCAGCAGGTGCTGAGCGGGCGGCTCTTCTCCTTCCTCAGTCCCGGGAAGGGTCCCTGGGAGGCGGGCGGCAGGGCCTGCATGTCCTCCGCTCAGTGAGAGGCCCAGGCCCATCAGGGAGGCTGGTGACGGCCACACGCACCTGCAGGCTGCCAGGCGGGGGACCACAGAGCTGGTGAGCGATGCCGCCGCTCTCTCAGGCTTTCCCTGAACTCTGCTACCCTCAGAAAACGCCTCCCCAGGAGGGTGAGGGCCTGGCCCGGCCCCCGAACGGAGAGGACAGGCCAGGCTTCCAGCCCCGCCGCCGCGGCTGCGCGGTGAGGGCCTGGCAGGGCCGTACCTGGGGCAGGATGATGGTCTTGGAGTTGTCGGCCCACACCACCTCCACCTTGCTGCTGACGTCCACGCGGGCCACCTGGCCAACCGACGGCTGCGGGGCAAAGGGGACAGGGTCATAGGGGCAGCCTACAGGAGGTGAGGCCAGCAACTCTGAAAGGCAGTGCCAGCAGTGGCGAGGCCGTAAAAACCAAAGGGAAGTGGGCACATCTGGAGGCGGCCAGTGAGTACGTCAAGTACAGGGCCCTCTGGCTCAAACACCCACAATGTGCCCTGTGCCCCGAGCTCCCACTCCGCCTGCCGCCGCCCCCTCCCACTCACAGATCTGTCTGGACGTCCTGTCCTTCCAGACAGGTTTCTCCTCTTCCTCTGCTGGAACCTGCCTGACCACACCCACCAGCCACCTGTGCTCCAAGGCCCGGCTCAGACGCCACCTCCCAGTCTGGCCTGGTTCCTGCAGCGCTCACCACGCTCCGGCCTCAGGACAGGAGAGGGCTTCCCTCGCAACTGCAATGGGCTCGGGCCGCTGTGCGAGCCCACCCTGACCCTGACCCTGACGCTGACCCTGACCCTGACCCTGTCGGCAGGTGGCAGGTGCTCCTTGGCAGGTGCCGGGGTGGAGGGGCAGCTTGGGATGAGCCAGAGAACTTGAGGTCTGGTCTCCCGGAGCCACCTGGCGGCACCACCAGGCACTGCAGCTGCTGCACCGACGGGGCAGCTGGGGCAACTTGAACTTGGGGGTGCACACCTCATCCTCCTTGGGAGGAGCTCCGTCCTCAGCGTTGCCGATGCGAATGACGATGTCGGTTGTGCGGAACCGGAAGTCGGGGTGGTCAGCAATGTCATAGACGCTCACGTCTTCCTCCTCTCCAATCAGCTGGGCACAGGATGGGTTGTCGTGAGCCCAGCGCCCGCCCACCAAGCCCCCCGAGGAGGAAGCAGGGCTGCACACTCACCTCCACGTCGTCCCCACTCGGCCGCAGCTTGAACCACTTCACCACGCAGGTGCGGCCCATGTGGTCCCCAGACTGCACCACCCCGTAGACGGCGGGGTCTGGGCAGCTCTGGACTAGGGAACCAGAGAGCACACGGCTAAGGAGCCCTGGTGGGTCACCTGCCACCCTCTCTCCCACCCACCACGTATCAAGCACAGCGGGGCACAGGACCCAGGTGTTCCCTGGTGAGCTCAGAGCCAGAAAAGGCTCCCCCAGGCCTCAAAGGAGCAGCCACCTCACAGGGAGCCCCCGGAGCTGAACCCTCTTGCCCGCCTGCAGCCCCGCCAGCCCGCAGTGGGAATGGCGCCGGGAGCCGGCACTACCTCGCTTGTCCACCACGAAGTCCCCAGGGCAGAACTCGTTGTTGTCCAGGTGGTGCACCGGGAAGAGGTCGTTGGAGCGGATGTTGCACTCGACGGAGCCGTCTTGCCACATCACGTCTGCTGAGGTCATCGTGGTCACCACCTCCACCGCCACCCTGTGGGGGGCCAGTGAGCCAGGCCAGGCCAAGGCCTCCGGGGCCAGGCAGGCACCCTTCCGCCCTCCCTCCTTCCCATGGGCTCGGTGGCCTGAACCTTCATTCCAACAAGGGCGACAGGCCGATGGGGGCTCACCTAGAGCTTCCATGTCCTGTACTTTCCTAAGAACATCCGTTTGGAGCGCTCAAGTGAATGGGCCCCGAGGCCAGACTCGGGTCAAGGCCACTGCCCACCCTCCGTCTTACTTCCAGGTCTCTCCTCTCCACCGGGCCAACCCCAGGCCCTCCATCATCTCAGCTGGGTACACGAGCCTTTACGACAGGGGTGGGGGACCTTCAGCCTGAGGGTCACATAAGGCCCATGAAACCTTCAGTCTGGCCCTGCCAAGGCATTAGGGTTGAGCTAATTAAATGTCTGACCAAATAGAGCAGGCCAATTTTTTAAAATATATTTTATAGATTTTTCACAGAGAGGAAGAGAGAGGAATAGAGAGTTAGAAACATCGATGAGAGAGAATCATCGATCAGCTGCCTCTTGCACACTACCTACTGGGAATGTGCCTGCAACCAATATACATGCCCTTGACCGGAATCAAACCCGGGACCTTTCAGTTCACAGGCTGATGCTCTATCCACTGAGCCAAACAAGTTTTGGCAAGCAGGCTAGTTTTTAAGTTGATAATTAAGGCCCACAAATGATGTCCTAAGTATCCAAATTGCTCTTGGCAGGGAGAGAGTCCCCAGCCCTGCTTTAGGGGCAGACCCTGTGTGTGAGCCGAGTGTGCACGCGGGGGCTATGGGGGACCCCGGGTTCGGCTCTCAGCCGGGAGGCCCGCCCTCTGGTGTACCTGTCGCCCGGCTTGAAATCCCTGGTGATTTTATTCTTCTTCCTCTTGTGTTTTCGCTTTAAGTTCTTGATAGACAAGGGGACGCTCTTTCTGCGATTCGTGCCGCTGCCGCTCTGGGAGGAGGTGGTGGAGCTGGCGGAGGAGGTGACGGAGCTGGTGTCGTCCGTGTCGTCGGCAGCCTCGTCATCGGCGTCCTGCTCGGCGGAGTGCAGCCTGTCGTCTCCGCCCTCCTTCAGCAGGAAGGGGGGCAGCGGCTCGCCCGCCTCCAGGGCCTCCTCGGGACCCTCGTCCTGCATCTCCCGGGGGCTGGCGGAACCGTCGGGCGTCTCCTCGGGGCTGGCGGACCCTGTTCCATTCTTGGTTTGGGGCCCCTCCCTCTTGCCTGTCTCCTCCATGGAATGGTCCCTGGAGCACTGGGTATTGGGGGAGCAGGACATGATCCTCACGACCTGCTTCTTCAACAGGCGCTTCACCTGTGAGGCAGAGCAGAGGGCGCTGTGGCCGGGCCTGGTGTACCTGCCCCGCAGAGTGGCCACCCAGGTGGGCAGGCCCGGGCAGCGTGGTCTGGGGAGGGCCTGCAAAGGTCACCAAGACTGCCCCCCACGACCTGAGGCATAGGCCATCCTGCCAGTTCCTCAGTGCCTACAGCTCAACCCGGGATGTACCTTCTTGGCCATCGAGCCCTCCCCCTGGGCACAGTGCTTCTCCGGACATTCGCAGGCGATCTTGGCCAGCTCCACCTTGGCCGGGAAGACAAACAGGCAGCGCTCCCCCAGCTGCCGCTGCGCATGGTCAAAGCATCCGAGACGCTTCACCCTGGAGGGAAAAGGGGGGCTGGGCCAGCAGGTCTCGGCCCCCATCTGCGCTGTGGCCCGGAGTCCTGCTCGCGGCCTGGCCCTCGGGTTTCTGAGGGGTGGCATGCTGGAACCGCTCACCTGCCTAGGTTCTCCTGAGTGATGACCGAGGGCGGGGGGCTGACGCTGTCCGTGCCCCCTGGACAGAAGCTCTTGGTAATCCACGTGACTTTCAGCTCCACAACCTGCACCTGGGCGGCGAGAAGCAGGGCCATAGGCAGCAGGCTCTGCAGCTGTTCCTTTCAGCAGCTCCAGAGCCCGCCTGACCTCCAGGGCAGGAGTTGCTTCAGTGTCCACCCGTACGACACCCCACCTGTCACCCAGGCCCAGCCTGCGATCCCCGGCCCCTCCGCACTGCCTCAGGGCCCAGTGGGCTGCCACTCCCCACTGCCCACCTTGCTCAGCCCGGGTTGGTCAGGCTGGGGGACATCTGCCTAGTGGGTTCTCCTTTCCGACAACAGGGTCCAGAGGCCAACAGGCTCAGCCGTCAGCCAGGCAAGGGCAGGGTGGGGTGCTCAGCTCCAGTCCCTCCCACGCCCCGCCGGCCCCAGCCCTACCTCTTCCACCACCACCCGGAACTTGCTCTTGGTGCTGAGCACGGGCTTGACTCCCGACAGCCACTGGACGCTGGAGAAGATCTTGGCGGGGCCGATGAGCACCTGGCCCGGGTAGAAGCCGTAGGAATCGTCGAAGAAGAGACCCTGCAAGATTCGGAGCCAGAGCAAAGGGCTCGTGAGCAGCGCCTCCTTGGGGTGGGGGAGGGAAGGTGCTTCCCTTCCATGCACCTTCAGCCCCCCTTCTCATCTGCCCCCCCAACACCTACCCCCAGCAAGGCCTCCCCGGTCCCTAAAACAAACCCCCAGCTCCAGCACAAGTTCGGCCTCATCAGTGTCGCTGGTCGGAGGACACTTGGGGGACTAAGGGCCTAGCGGGCAGGGCCCCCCACCCTGGGTGATGTGCCCAGCACCCTATTCCAGACGGTGTAAACTCCTGTCTAAAGCGTCGCGCTGCACTAACACTGCTTACACGCTAGACAGAACGACTGAGGCTTTAAGGGGAGGGCATGGACGGAGGCAGGATAGAGAAGTCCCAATCCTCTCTGCCCTTTCTAGGAAACCACGTGCCCAGGAGCAGCGTTCAGCCTGGGCCAGCGCCAGCTCTGCGCTAACAAGTCCTTCTCCTCCACAGCCCAGAGGAACATGGAACATGAGCCCCCCCACACGTACTGAGTCGCTGACGTGTGGGCAGACGTCGTAGAGCTTGGCACCGTCTTCAGTGTTCATGGAGCACCTGGAACAGCGAACACGGGCGTGGTGACCACGCGGCAGTGACCGGGCCTCAGGGAGGCCTGGCAGCCAGGACCAGGGGATGCTGATCGGAATCAGAAAGAGCTATTCCCACGTGCTGGCGTCTCACATGCCCTAAGATGGCACATTTCCTCCCCGTGCCCAGCTCAGCCTCTGGCCTGGGTACAAATGATCTCCTAAAACGAACAAACCCCAACCCACTCTCTGCACCATTCAAATGTCTAAAGCACAAGCTCCCGGCAGATACCCGAAGTCAGTGGTCGGCAAACTGAGGCTCGCTGCTCTGTTGACTAATGAGTTTGCCGACCCTAAGTGATGATGCTTTGCTCCCCAAACCAAGACGGGCCAAGACCAGGAACCGAGGGGGCACTAGGCTCGGCGATAGAGGCCCGCGCGGAGGCGCATACCTGGCCCCGTTGGACAGCTTCAGGATGATCTGGTTCTTCAGGTCGTACACCTTCCCCAGCCAGCAGTCATAGGCGATGTAGTCCCCGTACATGAAGGGCTGCGGACAGGACAGGGTGAGAGGCGGCAGGCAGCATGGTGTCCAGGGCACCATCCTGTGCCCCATGGAGACGGGAGGAAGGATCTACACAGCTGACTGCCCGGCCGTGGACTGCTCAGCCCTGGCCTAGTGCTGCTGCAGCCAGCAGGCTTCTCCTGGCTCTAGCTGCACTGGCTCCCTTTCCTACTGTGAGGGCTGCAGCCCGAATGGAGTGGGCTGAGGAGGGCAGCTACACGCTCAGGACATGAAGTGGTTTAAGCACATAAATATCCAAGGATGCCAAGAGCCACGTTTCAACCACCTCCTGTGGTAGTTACAAACAGGACAGGTGTTGACACCTGGATGTGCGCGCACACACACCCGTATGTCTGTGTTCTGTCCCGAAAGGGCCTCAGCATGCCCAGCACACATGCACGTGCTGGGTTTGAAACCTGGCTTTCTGCTCTGAAGGCACCAGGGCTCCTTGGAGAAGCGGCTAACTCTGGGGCTGGACCAGAAAAATACAAGATGGAAAGTAAAAAGGAACTGGCAAAATGACAGCCAAAGGCCACAGACGCCATCTGAAGGGGCGTCTACGGCCAAACCTGGGAGCATTTAAGCAACAAAACAAACACGGAGGTAATGGCTCTCGACGACGGAACGACAGGAGCCTTGGCCCACAATGATGCCAACAGTGAATGGGTCAGTCAGTGAGCAGGAGGGTTCCTGCCTTAAAGCGCCCAGGGGCCACTGCACAAAAACGGGGGGGGGGGGGGGGGGGGGGCCACAGAATCAGCCCAGCGGCATCAGAGTGCTGCGGTACAGCGGGCTGCTGATGGAGGCTGAGGCTGGCGTCTGACATGTGACAAATCATTGACAATCCCCAAGCTCTGCCCACAACACAGAACTGTGAAGAGTAAACGGTGACTTTATGGCAGGGAGGTGTGGCAGACACCAAGGTGACCGGGGTCCCAGTGACCTTGGCTGTGGTGCCGCCACTGGACACTGGGCCGGGGAAGAGCTTGGTGGCATTTCTGGGGCGGCCCTGCCAAGGATGCAGGGCTGAGGCGGGTGCTGAGGGCCAAATGATGGGGGTACGGGGTACGCAAGACAGAGCAAGCGTGGGGAGCCGGTCCCGGCTGGCGGTGACCACGAAGTGCAAGGTGAGTGCCTGACTGGAACTCTGGGTCAGGACGGGAAAGGATGCTGCCGGGTAAGTGGCGGTCTGTGCACCGACCCCTCTCTGGGGAGCGCAGTCACACAGGGAGCCCTGCTGTGGGGACACACACTCTGTATACTTAGGGGCGCCTGGGATCCTGACTGAGGAAAGGAGGCTAGGAGAGGGGAGGGGCTGTGGGGGAGCAAGTGGAGCAGAACCTTAAGGCGGAGGAGCCTGGTGATGCCGGGGACATAGGAGTTTACAACCTCTGGGAAGTGTGAAATAAACGTTAAAATTAAGTTACCGAAGAGCAGCTTCCTTAAAGGGAAGAGTTAGAGGAGAAAGGAAGCTGGGCCGAGAGAGCCAGGGGCCGAAGCCCCAGGGTGAGGCGACCTCGTGGGAAAGGCTTACGCGGCAGGAGGGCTCTGTAGAGCGGAGGCCCGGCCTGGCCGGCTCCCGGGGAAGGGGCAGCACTCAGGTCCCGGAAGAGACCCCGGAGGAGGGGGCAGGAGGACGGCGGAGCTCACCCAGATGTGCTGCAGGTCCTTGCTGTTGACGGGGTAGATGATGCAGTTGGTGCCGATGAGCTTGACGGCGCAGTCGATGCTGACGTCGATCACGGTGCCGCACTGGCTGTCCTGGAGGAGAAGCACAGGCTGAGCAGGCACCGGCGCCAGCCACCACCGCACCCGGCCGCCCGCCCGCTCGCAAGCAACCCGCCGGGTTGGGACGAGGACTCACGGTGGAGCGCATGTGCCGGACCACGTCCCGGGGCACCACGGAGCGGTCCTCCAGTTTCAGCTGGACGAGAAAACACGAGGTGAGTGGCCTCGGAGTCACCTGGGACACACCCTGCCCGCGTCCCGTCCCGTCCCGGGGAAGGGTCACACTGAGCCCAGAGCACAAATCCCACGTGCTCGGCTTTCAGGAGCCCCAGGAGCACCCCCTCACTGCAGCCAGGTCAGGGGACAGAACTGCAAGCACTAACCCCCCAGGCCAGCACGAGGCTCACGGAGGCCATGTGGATCAGAGTGCGCGGGGGGACAGGTCACAGAAGCCCCGTTTACAGTAGAGATTTAAGAGCGTGCTCTACACAGCGACCATTTCCTAGGAGTGAAACCTTTCTGTCCTTTCTGCCAGTGGCTGCCCTCGCCCTGCGATGAGGGCGAGAGGGGTGACGCCAGCTGTGTGGGTCACCCTGAGGCCGCTATCAGCCGACACCACCTTCTAATCCGGGCTATCCTTGCTGGCCAGCTGCAGCCTGCCCTTATCTCTCTGCCGCGGAGCCCTGCAGGCTGCTGAGTAACGAAGAGCCGGCTGCGGGAGCCTGGCCAACTGCACGCAAACGCCGTGGCAGATGCTCCCTCCGGGGACAGCAGGCCCCTGAGAGCCGCCTGCCCTCTGCGGCACCGGCCCCGCCTCGGCCAGATCGGGGCTGGTCCCCACCAGCTCAGCGCGTCTTCGTTGCTGGGCCAGCCCCGGGGCTGCTCTCTGCAGTTCCTCACGGGGTCTGCTAATGGGGGTCTCTGTGCCCACCTCCTCTGGGTGGAGAGCTATTTCCTCAAACAACACTCTCCACGCTCCAGCCTGGGGCATGGGAAGGTGACGTCCATGGAAAGAGAAGAGACAAGGTCACCGAAACGCTGGCAATGATGACTAAGAGCAACTTCGCTATAACTAGACAGTGACTTACGGAAACGCAGCGACGGGCCTGCCGTCAATAAAACCCACAGGGAACATAGGCCGACCCAGATGAGACCCTTGGCCAGACACGGAGACATACCAGCTCTGAAACTCAGGCAATTCACGCGTGCACACGTGTGTAAAACGAGGTGACAGCAGCCCTCTTAGCGTGGCTGGGGGGTAAGCAGATAGTGAAAGCAGATGGCACAGGGCCCTGGCCCACAGGAGGTGCTGTGGTCACTGCTAACTCTGTGCCCCGGGCACAGGCTCTGCGCGCAGGTCGCAGGAGGCTGGGCAGGCCGGGCAGCTCTGCTCAGGGTGCTGGAGGCGGTCAGAGAATGTCCTCCCCTGGGCCCCTCGGTGCCGGCTCCGTCAGGACCTGGTATTTTTAGTGGGTCCCACCCTAGCTCAAATCTCGGCTCTCATTTTAGACTCCAAAAAACCACAATTGCAGGTCTTTCCAAGTTGCCATAGAAACCAGAAGTCGCAGCCCCAGGAAATTCGATGGGAGACCACGTGGATGGCATGGGTGGGAGGGAATGCCATTCTTGGTGTGACTGGCAGCGGCTCCGCACCTTGCCGGCTCAGGAATCCCTGAGGAGCAGTGAGTCTGTAGATGTGCCCCACCTTGGCGGCGTGCCGGTCCCGAGAGCCTCCGGGACGGGGAGGGAGAGGCACAGGCACAGGCCCTGCGCGGTGCAGACTCTCCGGGGCTGAGCGCCCGCTCCGAGGCCCAGGCAGGAGCAGCGGCAGTGGCAGCGGGCGCACTGCGGCCAGGGAGCTGGGTGGCAGCACCAGCCTTCGGGGCTCCCTGACCTGCGCCTGGCCCTCTGCAGTGTGACTCCTCTCTGGCAGGAACAGCCTTTTGCCGGTGGGAGTGGCAGGGAGGGAAAGTGGCGCGGTGGCCTCTGTCCTGGCGACATTCCCTGCCCCTGGCAATTCCAGGAAACCAGCAAATGGTGTCTGGAAGGGCTCCCAACGTCCCTCCATCCCTGTGTCCCTGTCCTGGCTCTGCCCTTCTCCCAGAGCCGCTCTCCCTCCGAGTGCCTCTCACCGACAGGCACTTCCACAAGCCCTCCTTCCTCTCCCTCCTCCCTTCCTGTTCCGGAAGGGCCGGCTCCTGGGGCTCGGTGGGGAGTCCTCTGCCTCGAGGCGGCAGCACCCCGTGCTTACTCCTCTCCAGGCACCTGCTGGGCGCTTTGTGTTTTAACCACAAACCCTCCACCCCAGGGTCTGTGTGAGCATGGAGATCCATGGAGTAAGTGCACTGTCAGTATCATTCCCCCTTTACCGGGCCGTTCACTGAGACAGAGACAATAGTAACTGTTCCCAGCCCCACGGCTGCTGCGTGGCGGAGGGGCCTGGAGGTAGGCCGCTGGCTCCAGCGTGCAGCCTGCCCCGGCCCGGGGAGCGCGGAGGGAGTATTTCTGGCAGATGGTATCCTGCCCACTGTCCGGGAGCCTCTCCGGTTACGGCAGCAGGAAGGGCCCCCTCCGCTGCGGGCTGCGGGCTGCGGGGCCTGACTGCCCTGTCATCCCTGGCTGGGTGTCGCCAGTTACTTCCAGGAGAACGGCATCTCTTCTCATCAGCTGTTGGTCTGGAGCCAAAACACAGGCAAACTGCCCTGGCCACTGGGTTTTAGTTGGTTGAGGGTCGTCCCAGGCCCTGAAAGGTCGCCAGTTCGATTCCCAGTCAGGGTACATACCCTCCCTTCCCCTCGCGCTAACCAATCAATAAAAACATTAAAAAACAACAACAACAAGCAAACAAGGCCCAAGATCTACATGCTCACACACAGACACTGAGGGGTGGAGAGCTTGTAACGCTTTCTGATTTAAAGCGGTAATACACTGGATTTCAGGGCAGGGAGGCGGGAATGGCAGGAAATGGCACTGGTTGTGGGCTGGAGTTGGGCTCCTCTTCCAGCCTCTTCCTCAGCCGTTTCCAGTTCCCACTGGACTGGGGACATGACCATGAGGGCCCCTGGAACAGGCCAGTGTAGGACGAACTCAGAGCGGCTGACCATCCCGTGGCTGTTCCCGGACAGCCGGCGATCAGCAGCCTGTCCACCTGAGGCCAGAGGATTTGCCAGCAAATCACAAAGGGCCAGAGGCCTCGGTGCGGGGGGCAGGGAGGCAGCAGGAAATGGCTGACAGAAGAAAAGACAGACGTTGGTGCCCTGACTAGAACACTCTGTCAATCATGTGCTACAGACACCATTCAACAGAAGCTCCGCTAAAACTGAAGCCGGAGGCCCAGCAATTCAGTAGTTGAGTGTTTTCTACAAATTCAGAACGAGACAGGAGATAACATACAGGCATGCGCCTTGGCTTTGACGAAGGTTCTGCCTCTGGTGGGAAGAGGGGCATGGAGGAAGAGCCCCGCCCCCTGGTCTTGGTGGCCCCGGGCATGGCACCCTGGCTTACGAAGGATCGAACTGCCAGCTCCAGAGCTCACTCCCGCCACAACTCCAGCCCTGGTTTCCACCTGCCCGCGCCGGCGCCTCGGTGCTGGGCAGCAGGGCGCCGGTGAACAGGGCCCGGCCTCCTGGGTCTGTTCTGCAGGGCGGCTCAGAGCTCCTCCCTTCCTCCAGGCTCCTCCTGGCCCTGGGAAGGACTTCCCGGCCAGACGCTCCCCACAGCCCTGGAGGAGGCCACATGCCTGGGCGAGGGATGGGAACGGACCGAGGACAGCACCCGTTTCTGGACACGACGCCTCAGCATCAGCCACGGCAAGGCGTTCGCTGGTCACACCTGCTGCTCCTGAAGACCAGGTGGTGGAAATGCCCATGAACACAGAGGGATTGGACTTGACAGTGTCAAAATAGCAGGAGTGTGAAGGAAAACGAGCAGCTTTGACAAGTTCCTTGGGAAGAGAAGGAGCGGAGAAGTCCATTTTTGTACATGTACGGAGCCATCGCACGGAAGATCTCATGACTAGACAGACCCCGTCGGCAGGAACCGTGTCTTGTTGTGCGTGACCGCCCGTGGCTGCACCGAACAGTAACAAATGCAGCCAGCACGGGGAACCGTCACCAGGACAGGCTAAAGGCAGCTGTCTATCAGAACCCTCAGGTCTTTTAAAAACCAGATTCCTGGATTTTCACCCAAACGCACTGAATGAATCTCTACATAAAAGCCAGATCTGTCTCTTAACATTCCTAGGCAAGTTTAATAATCGCCCGGGTTAAAACTGTTCTATTTTAACCAGTAAGTTTCTCTTTCTTCTAGAACAACACAGAACCCCAACTACTTAGGACATTTGTTTTTAATCTTAGGAAAGTGTAAAGACACAAATCTGGGGCTCAAGATGCAACAGCAAGGTGGTGTAACTAACAAGTGAGAGCTGGCTGGCACCTGCCTTCAGCACCCCGACACGCCCGTGGCCCATCTTTGGACAGGCGCACATGCACCAGGTCCGCAGTGATGTGGCCCCGACTCCGGCTGGCTCTGCTCAGGCGGTGCAGCCCCTGGGCTAGGCCAGGTCCCAGGCAGACTCCGGGGCAGCTCTTAGCACCTCGCTGACCGAGAGGCAAGGGACTTGGCCCTGGTGACAAATGGTGGCAAAGCCCCGAGCCCACCAGCACGCACCCGGACACCTGGGGACAGGCCCAGCGCCGCTGCCGGGAAGACTTCCAGGCAGAAGGAGCTCCTGGCCCACGCTGAGACCATGAAGCCTGGTGTGTAGAGCGGGTTACTGAGTGGGCACAAGCTGGTGCTTAAAGTCTGGCTCTCCCATCGCCTATGAGCTCCAAGCCTGAGCAAGACGCGCCCTTGCCTGCTCCACTCCTGCAGGATGGCCACCAGCCTCGGCTGACAGATGCTCCCACCTCCTCCTTCACTCTCCCTACTGTGTGTGAACCCTCAGAAAATGACACAATCTTCAAAATGACGTAATCTCTGGTCGGCAAAGAGCTGAGGGCTCACCCTTCCCCCGTTGGCCCGTCGTGGCCAGCCTCGCCTCCACCAGCGCATCTCGGCTCCTCCCTGTGTGCGCCCAACCCTGAGGATCGATCAGGAGCCACACGCTGCAAATGCATCCTCTCCCCGAAGCAGACGCGGACGGAAAGGCACTCACTCGGCACTCTATTTTTAAAAATGCAAGTTCGGTAGAAGAAG